CAAGGCAACAAATGCCATCAGTTGATTTTTGATTTTTTGATTTTATTAATATTTATTTTATGTCAGTTGATTTCTTAAAGGACAGACTCACATTCATTTTCAGGAAAGTGTTGCCAATTCAACTAATCTAAGTAACCATGGTTTTAGCTATTCATTCCTTCAATTAAAAATGCTATTGCCGGGCCTCCCCGGTGGCGCAGCGGTTGAACACTGGGTTGCGAAGCTGCCTGCGGCCTCTGTGGCGCCGGTTCGATCCCCGGCTGCTCCCCGCCACCGAGGAGGGTCCCACATGGCTCACAGACCTCTCCTGCCGCCCGCTGCTCCCCCCAGCAGTGGACTTGGGTCCTTCTGCCTGCTCTGCTCCCTGCTGCTGGCTCTGGTGATTCTCTCACCCTCCCATGCTTCTGACTGTACACAGTGCTTGTATAAATAAATAAATAAATCTTTAAAAAAAAAGATATTGCCTAAAAGAAGAGGCTAATTCATTTCATTTTTCTCCTGGGACAAGGCCCTTTGGACTGTAGCAGACATGCCTTATGTGAACGTCCTTGTCATCGTTTCAGCCTTTAAAAAATGTGGATTTCAGGATGATAAATAGAAAATATGCTTTCGTGATTTAAACAGGACATTTTGAAGTGAAACTGGTTTGGTTTGGATTTTTTTTTTTTTTCTGTGAGAAAGTGGTGGTGAAGAATGACTACTACTGCAGTTGGTACTATATTTCCATTCTTACTAAGTTCTACCTTAGCAAATGTCAAAATAATGAAAGGCAAATGGTGTCAAAGTGATGTTATAAAAATAGTTTTGTCCTCCTGGATCCTGTAAAAGGTTCTGGGTGATCTCAAGGGTTCCACAGACCTACTTGGAAATGCTTTTCTCAGTGAACCAGGGGAGTCTCCCAAGTGTTCTCTGCCTTTTGTCTCTTATTGAGCTCCCAGAATCCATCTCCTTGGTTTGGATGTCCTATTTCCGAAGTTTTTCTTAGAGCTTTGCCCTGGATGCCTGGAAGAGAACTCATTCCTCAGAGATGATGAGAGTCCCTGGTCTGAGAAGGGAGGTGGAGAGACAGGTGCTTCCCTTTGGAACTGAGACTGTTTGTGTCTGAGGCACCAGACCCACTGATAATCTTTTTTGATTTTGTTTTCACCTGCTTAATATGTATTCCATCGAGGGACCTCACCTCATCTTTAAGAGAGATAATACTGGCCCCTTGATTTTACATGTGTTTAATGCATCTGACTTGATGCTCCCAAAGTGTGGCAGGCTGCGCCTCCCATGCTGTCTCTTGACATGGTCTGGGCATTGGGGGAGACTCCCTAGAAGCAGGGAGTTCCTGTGCTCCCCAAAGAGGGAAATTTGTACTTCCCAGAAGAGGGGAGTTCTTGCACTTCCCAAAGAAGATCTGAACTAGGGAGTCTCCATGGCAAAGCCTGCTAAAGCTCTCCTCTTTGTTCTTGGTTAATGCAGAAGTTAATTAGTAATTGGCATATGAAAACCCAATTCGGACCTAGACATTAATTGATTTGTTATTCTTACACCTGAATTAGTATCAAGAAAGTAAATAATGCAAAAGGTATAGCTAGGAAAGAAATGTTCAGCCCTGAGAACTATGGAGAACATGCTGCCCTGAACCAGCTGTGCTTGGAAACCATAGCCTAACCTGGGGGGTACCTGTTTGTGGTAACAATACATTTCCTGGTGTAGGCAAGAGGTCAATAGTTCGCAGGCTTGTGGAGGTTAGGAATTTCTAGTAAGAGTAGACTTCAGTAGAACTTACATAGATTTGATAAGTTGTTTTAGACCACTTTGAAGTAATTAATATGTTAACCAAGTTAATTGAGTACTAGGAGATAGTCTGATTTTAGTAATTGAATATAGAATAGGAATTTTATACCCATTTTTGTAATTGGGAAAGTTTAATTGTTGCCAAAATGTTGTGCTGTCTTGTATGATTGATCATGCTAGTAAATGAGCTATACTAGGAAACTAATTGTTCTTAGGTTACCAAAGAAATGACCTACAGATGTAAGGTCAAGGAGTCTTTACATGATCATGAGAAAATATGTATTGATTGTCTTTGCTCTGCTTCAATGCTTACTCTAATGTATTCCACCGCTTGCCTTCAGGTATAAATAAAGAACCACTGAGACCTCAGTAGGAGATACTTGCATGAACTAAGGTGTCTGTGTCTACCTCACTTCTGCCTCGCGCCACTCCCCTTAGCCCTCCGAGAAAGAGAAAAACTTTCACCGACTCCATCGTCTCCTTTCTGAGATCCCTGACACGACTTCTAGCTGGAGCTGGTCTCCAGCACAAAGCATGAAGAGCTGTGCTATCCAACAGAAAGTTCTGGAAGGAAAAAATGTTCTATATTTGTACTGATCTATATGGTGCCTCTAACTATTGAACACTTGAAATTTGGCTCATAAGCTGAGATATTGCATATTTACTATATATCATTTAAAATTAAAAAGCCATATGTGGCTAGTAGCTACCATATTGACAGTACATACTGAACTTCCAGTATCTGCCCCCCAATATTTATTGTATAATAAAATTGTATAGTAAAATATAATGTATAATAAAAATTACCTTCATGTTGAAGTCATGGATTTTTCTACACGGGTTTTTGTATATCCTTAAAAATGGCATATCCAAATAGTTTAATTAACATGTATTTTTAACAACAGATGGAGAGGCAAGATCCCAAATCTGAATACAAACTCTGTCTAATCCCTGAATGACCACTAAACTGTGCTGAGGTGTGGGACACTCAAGAGAAACTGCTGGAAAACCAGAAAGAACTTAGAGGCGTTCTACCCTTGAGTGACAGACTCATCCTGGTGTAATCTGTGAATCTGCACCTAAGACTGATGACTTCCCCAATCCACACACGCTCAGAGAACAGAAGCAAAAACCTTACTGAATTGAGGAATCAAACATCAGATTTGGTGGCTGCATTTGGGTATTTGGGTGCACCAGGAAAGTGAATGGAAGCCAAACATCTGGATAGACACTGTCCAAAACCTTGGTTGAACATGAATCACAAGGAACAAGTCAAATCCTTCAAGACCCAGGATGAAAATGCAGCAAGTGGAGACTGAAGCAACAGAGCAGGGGTCCAGCTGTGCACACTGCAGGGGCAGATTTTTCCTGGTTGGCAAATGTTCAACTTCAGTGGGGAAGAAAAGGAATCCTCAGAAAAATAAAAAAGATTCCAGATGTGCTAAATCTTAGATCATTAATGTATTTGAATTAAGTGTGATTTCTCCATGTTGCTTGTTTGAATAAAGCCTGACCACTCTCTACAACGTATCAGAATACTTCTCTCTCTTTGACAAAAGGATATAAATATTTAGTGGCCAGATGATGGACAGTAGAAGTTTTCAAATGTCCACCTTTTTTGTTTTTTTTTTTATGCTCAAGAGGTCAAGACCAGTTTCCCTCCTGTGAGTCCCTGGACTTGCTGGCTCCTGCTCATGGAGGAGGCTGGGGCGCCTGCACCACTTCACAGTGAGGCTCAAAAGGTGCTGTGATCTCCTGCTTGATCTCTCCTGCTCACTCTCTCCTGCCGCGCTGCCGTGGCCACTCAGATAAGTTGACAATCACATGGTGAGGAA